TATATAATTAGCACTAAAAGGCAGATATGTCTATAAAATTTATATTTTCATAAAACCACAAAGATTAAGACAATTTCTTGGGTTTCAGTGACCATTCTGTCCAGCTAGTCAAGTCTGCATAGTATAAAGCAACATTTGAATCTCCTATGATGAAATAAACACATGATTGCAAAACAAGATAATTATTCCAAAAGAGAATTATATTTCATGTGATGCAACAGTCGGTGCCATAAGAAACAATGATATATGTGCACAGATATGCATATATAATCATCTGCTTGTACAAAACAAACACTACCAGTTTCAACATACCACTAAAAAGAAAAGCGAGACTGGGAGCAAGGGCTTGTTCTCAGTTCCTCAGTAGACATTGCTTGATCATTTTATTTGCTTTGTCATGGCATTGTTTCTAAAAGACAAGGAACCACATTTGGCCATCTGCTGCAACCCAGGCCTGGTCATCATCGTATTTGTGACCCAGATACAAATTGCTTCCTGGGGCTCCTTCAGAGTATAAAGACCACCAAATGGAAGGGAATTTGTGGTTTGAAGTGGTCCATAGCTGTACCTGAGAAGATTAAAAAAGAAACAAAGACTTGACTCCAGCCTTGCTAGTAACAATCCTTGCAAGGCGTATGAGCTGGGAGTGTGTGAGCAGTCCACAAGTGCACTGCTTAACCATACCATATTAAGCTTCTGAGGACAAGCCGCAAGCCAAACAGAACTCCAAGGGCCCAAACCAGTACTGGATTCTGCATCAGCTCCTGACTTACACTGCAGAATGTTTAAGCATCAAATAACTCTCATGCCCAGGATGTAGAAACAGAGTGACTGTGGTGGGTATGGGCACTAGTGCTTCAGTTAGCAATGCCAGCTACAGTAGTTCTACTAACTATAACAGTCAACAAAGCTAAAGAGATGGAGAAAATATGCAGGGATGGTACTGGGGACTATGTTTTCTCTTTTTACTGTCAGTATTTATGGTCCCGATTCTTCATTGGCTGCTTAAGGTCTCGTAGAAATGAGCCGCTGTATAAGCAAACAGATTACAGGTGAGATCCAGTGGACAGAGCTTTGGGCAGTGACCTGAGTTCAAATCTCTTCTCAGCCACAGTTTCATTGTGTGATCTTGGAAAAGTCACTAGCTAAAGGGTCATCAAGTGATGAGACATACATGTGAGAAGCAGTCTTCAGTCTCAGTCTCCCATATGTAAAAAAGAATAACCCATTATGAATGTCCATCTGCATCAGTTGCTGAGCTGTAGCAAGAAACAACATGATAAAATCTGTAAGGCATTTCACCCACCAGGAGTACAATAAAAAAAATACACACAGAAGAGATTTCAAGCACTGGCACAAAGATGCATGCAACCTCCACTTTTGACTGGTACCCTAACCAGGGGGTAGGAAGAGCCACTGCTGCTGTGTTGCACAAGAGCAATAACACAACCAAGGGTGAATCAGTTGTTGCCTCCTTTGCATGGCACCTTCTGTCTTCAGCATGGGGACAGAACGGCAGTATTGCATATCATGGCTTGTTGTACTGCAGCTAAAGCCACCAGAGACCCAGCTTCTTGGAGCAAACTCATACAGAAACAGACACACAGAGAGAGAATGTTAAAGCTGAGCTGAATGAAAGTTGTTTTTAAGTCACTGCTAGCTGACTGTATGGTGAAAATGAGGAAGGTCACTTGAACTTGGTGTCAAATGTTATGTGATAATCTTGGGAAGAAGCAAAGGAACTTGATAAATTGAAATGCCTCTAAGGGGATAGATAATGGATCAAGGAGTAGAAGAAAAAGGTAAAAACAAGGAAGAGATTTTACATTTTATAAACATTCAAGCAAGGAAGAAATGGAACGTAGTTCTGGGAAGGACAGGAGGGTCTGTTTTGACTGGGCTAGAGGTAATGTCAGATTGATGGACATGGTGCTGACATTTAGAATGGACCGACCTTATCTCCCAGAGCCATATTCTTCACTCTATATCTCCACCCCCAGAGAAGTGGAGAATTAACCATTTTTCTCCTTCAGAAAACAAAGGCATGCCAGATATTAAGATTATCCTTCTCTTCATAGCACCAGAAGGATATTACAAATTTTCCCATGTTTGAGAACATCACCAATACTCTTCTATTATGTGACAAGGGAATAGTTCCCATATTTAAGTTGCAGGCAGTTTCAAGGTGTCCCAGCACATGAAGCAGATTAAACTGTGCATTGCAGATTCTCAAATAACAACCCTGTAAGAGGAGTTTGATTGGCGTATTTAGTATAATACCAAATTGATATATTTCAATATGGAATGGGAATTGAAGTGGCTATTTCTACTGGAGTGGGGTGAGGGGACTTTCATTTGTTTGCTTTCAGACAGAAATTTTGCAGGAAATGTCTCATGCACAGACTCTAGTGCATAAACTTCGACAAATTATTGGTCATTTCGATGGCATAGGCTGTTACCATCATGCCAGGGTCAAGACCACTGGGGTGCCTAATGCATTACATTTCCAAGGTACTAGATTAACATGTTTACATGACTGTAAAAAAAAATCAAAGAAAAGTTCAAAATAAAACAGAGACGCATAGGAGTGGGTGACAGCCAGGAACGACAGAAAGCATAGATTAATGTACAGATTTTGTGTATGGAAGGTCCCAGATTCAATCCCTGACATCTCCAGTTAAACAGAAAATGGAGACAATGCTAAGAGAGCTGGGCATCAGGATAAGGCAGGTGTATATGAGTATGTACTGTAACTCCATCCTCCATCCAATTTTCAGAGATTGTACTTCCTTCTCTTTCACAGTACCCTTTTGGACAGGCAGGAAAAAGCTTCTCTGTTTTATTGGTAGAGTGGGTAGAAGGAAGCACCTGGCAAAGCAAAGTCAAGAAATCCAGGGGAATGGCAGAGCAGACACTGAAGCTGGCATTTGGCAACTCATGAAAGTGGACAGCGGAGCTGAACAGGCACAAATAATACATACAAGTAAAAATGTCCCTGGATAGGCACACAGGAAATGGGGCTTGGACCCTGTAATGATTTCATGTTTAACTGTGTGTGTGTGGCTTTAAAAGTTTGGTTTGCATGGCTGTGATGATAATCTAGAGTGCTGGAATCAGGCAAGTGATATGATTGGTGAGTGACAGAGAGGGGGAGGGGTTTTGGAATGGATGCTGTGTGGAGGATTTGAATGTCTATCAAGAGGGTCAGTTAGATATGACAGTTGATGAAGATCAGTTAAGTTCTGATTTCTGGGAGAGAAGGAGAAGTTCTGTGTATGAGAGGAGTGAGACCCATCCCTGTGTGGGATGAGTTTAGTTCTGGGGTCTGAAGGAGAGACCTTCTTGTGTGTGTTATGAAAAGTTGAAGTATAAAGAAACAGTAACCGTATATGGCCTAAAGGAAAAAGTGTTACAAAGTTACCTAAGGAAAAATCCCTGTCAGTAGGGAGCAGACTGTGTGTTATACCTACTTTACTAGTTACATGGTTCTACCCTCGTATTTATGCTTTCTTTAAATAAATCCTATTTCATTCAAGTATACCAGCTCTGGAAAGAATCCTTCCTCAGACCACATAGTTCCTCGAAAGCTTAAACCCTTGATACACCTACCCAGTGATAGATATTATATTATAAAGGTTTGGAAAGCCTTATAAATTTCCTGGTGGCAGCCGGATTACCCAGTAGAGAAAAACATAAAGAACACTTTTAAAGTAAAACCAGACCTCCCCAGTTAAGGGGTCGTCACAGGCCCCCTTCACCCACTCTTTCTGTTGGTGTGTGAATTTTCGTTCCTTTCTATTTCTCTAAGGGTGTCACTACACATTACATGTGGATCAATCTAGTTCTATAATCTTAACCAAGAGTTTTTGTGGTGGTGGTGGTGGGGGTGTTAAATAGAAATCTCTGGTTTATTATGTTTTTTAATGAATGGAGGTTTCTGGTTCACTGGCCCCTCTCTCTGTGTCATGGATTGTAGTTCGCATACATTTCTGAGAGAAAATGATATGCTACTGGTGTGTGGGTGTGTGTGGGATTATAGCATTTGCCTCTATTCACTTTCCAGGAAATACAAGAAAATAATTTGTCCTTGTCTATCCCCTCCCGGCATGGCAGTGCTGCTTATTGCTGGAGGTCAGAAGTACAGTATTTGTCTTCCCCTCCCCCAGAGTCTGCAGCACTGCCTATATACTAGGGTATGCAAGTAAAATGTCTGCCCCTATCTATGTTTAGATAATGCTACACAAGACAAGAGTAGCCTCAGCTAGCAAAAGCTACGGGGTATATAGGATCAAAACCCTCCCCAAGCCATTAAGCTAGTAATGTTTTTAGAAAAATAAAACATTTTGGAAAGACAGATCTATCAGTGCAATCCTCCTTAGTGGAAAGATCCGTGGAAATCTGCTGATTGGTAAATTACCCTGTCCGTTACATATCTGCTGAAACTCTCACCACCTTCCTTTTACCTCTTTCAACTTTAAGCCAGGTAGTTAGTTGCCAAAATATTCTAATATTACCGCAGTGTTAAGTTTTCAATCCAGGTTAATTATAATATAATTATATTAATCAATAGAATCTTTGGATCAGATGTCAATCAGTTAAGGTCCAAATATGCATTCTTGTTACACAAGAGCTCAAATGCTGCCAGTGATAGCGTATGAGACTTTGACAGAGGAGATCTAGGTTCAGATCCCTCCTCTGCCATGAATCTCATGGTATGGCTCTAGGAACATCTCTCAACCTAACCCTAAACATTGTCACTGTGATAGGATAACCCCATCTAGGTTGTCTTCTGAAGGGAGGACAGAATACCATGGAATACTTTAATACACTTGTCAAGTGACCATCAGACTTCTTGTAGCTACGCATTTGAGTAAGCTTCTTATTTCAGGACATGGGAAACTGGGGCTTTAACCAGAGAGCAGTTGTCCTGTATGGCTGTCCTAGTATTGCTCTCATTGGTCAACAGGATTCAGACAGTGTGTGAATGACAGGAAGCACTTTCACAGTGAAGTTTCCAGGCAGGATGCACGGCGGAGGTAGAACTGCCTCCCTTCCTGCCTTTCATGCCTATGTACAATTAGCACCGGGAAGAAACGAGCATCGTGGTAAGTGGGTGGGTTTTCGTTGATGGCCAGCTGGCTTGAGTGGGAGCAGCACTGGTCGTCCTGGCATCCACGGTCAGCAATGCTGCTGCTGTGACTTCTCCCAAGGCCTGTCCTGTGAGAGCCATGAATCCGGCACAAGGAGAAATGGCTGGTGTTGAGAGAGAGCTGTGAGTTTCCACTGCAGCTGTGAAAGGCATGGCGAGAGAAGATGGAGGAGGTACTGGAGGCATGATGGCAGTGCTCGCAGCCATGAGTGACCTCACTGTATCTGCACATGGAGTAGCCATTGCACATGGAAGGATTTGCCAAGTCCAAGAGCATGGCCTCTGAGTAGCTGGGGATCAGCTGCCGGTTTGTGCAGATGTGCCACTCGAGTTCAGTGCTGTCCTGAGTGCTGACCCTGGGAATCCGATATCTGTACAAGGGCTCCTCTGCCATGGGTGGCACTCTGTACTCTACCCCAAGAAGCTTCTCCACGTGGTAGTGCACGAAGGCAGTCCGATACTCTATGAAAACTCTCAGTGGCCAGGAAAGCATCATCAGAGCTGCCACCCAGAAAGCATAGTGGGACACGTACCATGGGAGATGCTCTGGGTCCCCATAAGCCATCATGATCTCTTTGAAGTCAATATTTTTGAGCTGCATGCCTTCTCTGACTTCCATGTAGTCATCCAGCCCTTCAATCTCTGTGAAAAAATGAGCCCTCTGTGTAAGATATGAGTTCTCAGACTCTGTGTTGGCAAAGCTGAAACACTTGGTGAATTTTAGTTTTGTGGCTGAATACCACTCCAAGCCCATGAGTTCTTTAGAGATGTCCTTGAAGCCACAATGGGAATAATTAAACTCAGCTTCAGCCACATGGGTGTTGACCCTCTCATGGTAGACCTGGGTGGTTGTATAAGCATCACCATTGCGGTACCGAGTCACTTGTCTGGTTCGTCGGACAAAGTGATAGCTGATGGCTTTCCACCATATGCATGGTGTGGCCTGCTTCATTCGGGCAATTCGGTCATAGACACTTTCCACATCAGCCTTGTACTGGAGCTCACTTCTGGCCCGGCAATGCCAACACTCAACCAGGTAAACCGCATAGAGCATGGTGAGAAATGCTAATGGGATATAGACGTAACCATCAGAGCAAGGGCTATCATGGTAGATCATGGACTTGCCTTTAATAGAACTATCAAAACTAAGCTTGGTGACTTGTGTGAGCTGGCACCAAGCTACAGCCCCCAGGCAGCCATACATAAGCACGGAGAGGAGGAGACATTTCCAGTGGGACTCTCTGAACATGGAGGCACTCAAAGACTGCTTGACAGGCTGTTGCTGAGAATTGGATAGTACAAAAAGGGAGGGGGGAGAGGAAGGAGAGAGAAAGAGAATTTCTTGTGAGATCATTTTAATTATATCATGCAATAATGATATATCAATATTGATGACTGGATATAGTCTGGTACTGAAGAGACTTAGGCCTTCATTTGCAGTTCTGAGCTATCCTGTCAAGAGTGGATTTCTCAACCCCAAATCAAGCTAAGACTGGAAAACTGCTTCTGACAAAAGCTATGAGGTGCCCACAAGCTTTCTGGAAGTCTCACCACCTGGACTTGCCATTTGCCTGAGCGATTAAAAAACCACAACATTCTGACCATGGATGTCATTTCACTCTTAAATGGGCAATATATAAATGCAACCTTGGACCATCATGGGGTAGATTTCTTGATCAGTTGACTCAGTTTCTGACACTAAGTTACTGTCTTTTTATCATTCCTTTGGATTTTTAATTAGTAAGATGCTTTTCAAGCATGGTCCCATTCAGCCCAGTTTCTTCTGTATCAATTATTATTATGATCAGAGTTTCCTCTAAGCTGCACAAAACTGTAGGTGGCAGCTCAGGGATTTTAGCTTCAGCTCATAAGTAATCTGAGAAGGCATTTTCCCCTCCATTTCCCCCCCTGGTCCAATCTTTTTGAAACTTGGGGGGGGTTTGAGGAGAGGCACCAGCAGCTATGCAGCAAATTTGGTGCCTCTACCTCAAAAAAGCTCCCCTGAGATGCCCTCGGATCAATTCTCCATTATAGCCTATAGGGCCCATTGACTATAATAGTCCCCATAGGCTATAATGGAGCTGGAAAATTGATATATATTTTTGCACACCCCTATTATGCTTTTCAGTATGATTTGTAAGCCGCCTTGAGTCCCAGCAAAAAATTGGATAAATATTTGAATAAATAAGTAGTTTGGGCCGGTTGATAACATTTAAGCAACTTCCTGTTAGGTTTGGTACGGTTCTGACAGTGACTGTTCCTCCTCTGTTATACTTGACCTGTAATTTGTCATATTTCACTAAAAAAAACCCCAAAGTAGACTGCAAGAGTCGTCCCCCTCCCCAAGTGCTGGTATGTTTTCTAAGGCTCTGCGCAGGGTGCTGGTCCAAGGCCAGGTCTACCAGTATAGTAGACTGGGGTGGCTAGACCTGTTCTCCAGAAGCCAGGTCTACCATTATAGTTGAAAGGGGCAGGTAGACCTGTTCTCCAGAGGCCTGGTCTATGCCCATAGAGGACAACATTTTCTGTAATTAAAACTCTCCTGCTTATCACCAGAAAGTGCAACAGGGGAGAAAGTCTGCATAACAGTTGCTACATATTGTCATTAGTTAGCAACAACTACATTGACTGCTCCCAGATCTTATGAAAGACTTTCCAAGGCAACTCACTGGAAGTTCATTAATATGCTGTTAAAAGCATACTTACCATGCTCACTCATCATTTGTTATTAAATATAGTGTGAAACATTCTATGCACTACTTTGTTTCAGAATGATTATTTAAACTGTTGTCGTGATCATTATCCAATTGCTCCAGAAACTGCAGATTTAGAACTGGAATTTCAGGTACCTCTGGCATTCACATGCTGCCAAGTTGGCAAGTGGACAGAAAATGTTATGTGTATGGTCTGACATATTAAAACAAAAAACTGTCTTGCCCAACTAAGTTATTATTCCTTCCCGGGATACACCTGCAAAGGCTTAGGGGTATATTCATTTGCAACTCATTAAACATCAAAGCCCAACATTGATTGTATAACTTTTGGCATCAGTAATTTCACAGGGTTTTAAAAGTTATGCACAATCGTTAGTGACCACAACAGATAAAAATCTGTTTCATTGCATCTAATTCAAGTGTTTGTAAGCATGGCTTGCAGAAATGCAGCTATACAAAAACTGCTGAATACCTGTAGTTTTATTAATCATTGATAACTCCAAGTGGAAGAAGACTAGACTGGTTTGCTATAGATGTAATAAAATAGTTGGCACATTAATAAACATAGAGAGGAATTAATCACTTAAAATATAAATAAATGTCTGATTATTGTGGGGGATGGAAGCATGTATTTCTGGAATGTCAAATGGACTGAAGGGCCAAATTTGTCACTGAATTTAGGGGCCACAAATGATAGTTCACTGAAAAATATAATTTTCGTTTGAATTTAATATCACTGTTGTATCAATTAGATACTGAAAGTGGAGATTAAATTGTAATCTCCAGTGCAATTCTGGCAAGTGACTTGTTCTTATAGATTTATAGAGCAAATATTGTAAGCAATAGTTATTATGCATACACACATTTGCTTTATTATGTCACAGATATCATAGCCACAAGCTACTCTCATTCCTCAAAACTAGCATTAAAAACTTTCCTGTGACAGCTACAGTGATATATAGTAGTACCTACTACTGGGGAGCCTGCCCTTCTACCTGTAAAGGAAATTGGGGTTGGAAGCAACTGGAACGGCTTTCATCTGGGCTATAGTAAAGCTGTCATAGGCTAAACTGTGATTTCAAAAGGGTTTAATACAGTTCTTGGGTGTTAATGTTTGTCATTCCAAACCCTGATTTCTATTATAGAAGGTACAGGATGCCAAGCTCATAAAACTGCTATAACAACAAGGAGAAATAAACAGAGAAATAGAAATGCTAAGAAACTGAATGGTGATACTAACTTGACACAGAATTTTGTGGCCAAGGATTCCCTTATGTGACATATGCACAAAGAAGAGTCTATGTGTGATAAAGGTCTTGGCCTTGATGTTTAACTTCAAGAAATGTAGTTCAACTGAAGCAAAATGCTGCCATGTCTAAAATGATGGAGTGAGAAAAAACAGAGTGTAATCTAGATGTGGGGTGAATGGAAATATAGCAATGGCAGAGAAACAAAACACACATTTGATGTGTCAATGACAATCATTCAACAGAGGAAGGAAAAAAGTGAATCAAATTAACAGAATGCAAATACAAAAAACCCCAAGTGTTTAAGACTCATTCATAAGTGCAGTGGTGCTGGCACACATGAGAGAATATGAAGGCTTCATATGTTTGACAGAGAGATCGCTGTCACTAGATCTGGAATATCTTCTGAGTCTCTGGGTGGTGAGATCTGGATTGCATGCTCTTGGTGCATGCTCTGGGACCTATAGGCATCTGGTCTTCCAGTAGCAGGGTGTCAACTGCAGGCTCTTAGGGTGTGGCCTTGGGAGCTAGGGGCTCTGGCTCTGAGGGAAATACTGTAGTGCTGGGTCTCCCCAGGTCCCCTGGTCCACCTAAGACAATGTTCTTGTCTCTTCCTCTAGATCATCTGGTATCTCCTCTAAGGAGTCTGAGCCTGGCTCGGGGGGGGGGGGTAATGACAGCTCATCTCTGATCAGTGACAGTTCGCCATTGGCTCTGAGTGTATGGAATCTCAATTGTATTGTTTCTATTGAGTGTGAGACCTCTGACTTTGGTTGGCTGATCTGATCTGGTGGCATGGAATATTCAGTTGGTGGGTGAACTATAGTTCAGATTCTGTGAGGGGAGGTTGTCAGTTTGTGTGGGATTTAATTCTCACACTAAAACAGGATGAGGACAATCAAGACGTCGTGGGACACCGGGCAGTCAAGGGGCAGAAAGCACAGAGGAAGTGTACAGGGCTGGCCCAACCATGTAGGTGTTCTCAGCAGTTGCTTGGGGTGCCAAATCACATGACATTTACTTTATTTTCTCTATTAAATATATCTAGTAATACATAAATTACCTCTAGATTTCTGATTTTCTCTGTATTGAATGGAAAGCCCTATACCACAGTTGTAGATCACTCAGGGAACCAAAAACCTGTGGGCCCTGAAGGTACCAAGCAGGTAATGAACAGATTAAGGAAGCTAGATGTGGAATGAACCTCAAAGGAAAGGAAATAGGAAACAAAGAATGATGGGAGAAAGTATTTTAGAGAGGGGACACTGAAGTATCCTCACAGAAGTAGATGATAGGCAGGAGAGGTACAGAAGCACTAGGAAGACCGGAGGAAAGCTGGCTAAAGAATGTGCAGAAAGGTTTCCTGCAAAGCAGGAATCTGAGGTAACAAAATAGGCGAGTGATGGAGACATGGAACTGAAGAAGATGGATCAAAACTAGCAATGAGGCAGAGAATTTAGAGAGGGATGGTCTGTGCTTTATTGCCCAGAAGGAAGCTGACTGGCAAGGGAGGCAGGAAGCCAAAAGGCAGAGTGTTATTTATTTGACCAACTGGGGATCTGTGCCAGTTGTGGCTTCTATTGTCACTCCAGCCTTTGTGACTTGGCAGTCCTAAGATGGCAGTAAGCTTCAAAACATACTGAATTTAGAAAGGGTTTGTGTGCAGAATTTTACACATAGGCTTAAACTAACCAGCCAGTCCTTTGGCCTGCAGGCCTCTAGTGCCGTCCCCCACCCCTTTTGATTACTTGCCAGATTCCTCCATACAATCTTATATTCAAGTATACAACTAAGTTTGTGTCTCTGACTATGAGAAACAGCATAAAGAGAAAGCTTTCCACTTTCTGTGTATTCAGTTAGTTTGTCCATGCGGTTGTGTCTGTGGACATAATCACACAGAGGACTTGGACAGTGTGGAAAAGGCTGGTGTTAGGTAATTATATATATAGCTCTTGAAGGGTTTAACCCTTATTCAGAATTCTTGGTTGTGATATCTCTAAAAGCTCAAACCAGATGAAGGCCCTATCTAGCCTGCATCAAACCCCTCACTCTACAAGAGCAGCTGAAGAATGATTCCCAAGGAGTATGAGAAAGGCATTAAAAGGACAATATGAAACAGAGGTTCTCAATCTTTCTCCATTGACCCACAGTTCAATGACACAAAGTACCAACTTGAGAGCACCACAGTTTGCAAGCACTTGCTATGTACAACTGTGTTCAAGTCTGCAGTATCTTCCTATTGCTCAGAGGATTCACAAACACCCCGTCCAATGCAGTTTCAAACAGTAATGATAATGTTACTCTGGATAGCTTTGTTCTGATGCAGGCAAATACTAGGGTGGTTGAGTGGATGTTACCACTTCCATCTGCAGGTAGGGGACAGTTCTGAGTGC